TTCTCCATTCTGTCAAGGTTCAATACGTGCTAGAGGCAAGGGGAGACCTGTAGAAAAATAGAGTCAAAATAGAGCAGCTCACAGATTCCGCGCCATGGCCGCGTTTATGCACTGTCAACGGTTTGGTTCCCGTCTTGCAGCCGCGTGGGACCGCCATGACTTTAATAGGTGGTTTATTCTGAATTAAAAAGAAAAAGGACAATGGCTGCGGCGCAAATGTGAGCCGCAAAATCTTACGCGATCGCAAACCGCGAGCCATATACAGGCCGCATGGTTCCTAAGAGCTCGACAATCCGATTGTTTCACATAAATGTGAAGATTGGGAGAAAACTCAGGTGTCTAGCCAGATGCGTGGAGTTTCGCTCAAAATGTGCACCAGCTCTACCCTCCCCTAAAAATGGAAGTGTAACCCACATCGTTCTACCTTTACTGTCTCACTGACCTTTCCACGTAAAAATAAACAGGTCGAAAACCAGCCAAAGCCAATCAGCCGCAGTACCAAACAAGTTTTTCTCCAAAAACTCTTCACTCTACCTTGAACTCTGAAGGTTCATCTGATAAATTTCGTCACGTTCGTGATTATACCCAGGTTCGAATCTCGCCCAAGCTAACCAACCTTCAAACCTTCCGTTCATTCGGTGTTGGGTGATTGGTACAAATCATGTTTGGGAAAAATCCGAACACCGCCTTTCATCTCGACTAAGCTTCGCAATTCACCGTGTGGGCCAGACTGCATTCAAATGCCACTTCGGTTTTCGAATGGAGGTAGAATGCATGGCTTATAACGGAAGGGAACTGATCAACAACTTCTTCTCATTCCACTGGAACTATTATACTTCCGTGGGAGAGGAAAGGAATACCTTTGCACATGTTCCTCCACAAGTATCACATATTGGACAGAATAAGTACCTACCTAGTGCCGCTAAGATCCTCAACGGAGGTCAAACGCTTGGCGCATCCCTTCGAGAGTTAATCAGCGCTGCATGCCCACCGCCTTATATTTGTCAACGGTCTATATTTTCTATGTATTTCAACTTTCACTACTCACTACTACTTTCACTATTATCACTACTACTTATTCCTGATTGATACTAAAAAATACTATCGCATGAAATCAGCTGCTAGTAAGGCACCGACAGTCACATAGCTGGTACTGCAGTGAAATTTCGAACGATTAACAATTTTAGACCTTTTATACTTTAAATAGTAGAGTTTGGAAATCTATTCTCTCAGAACCGTAGCAAACTTTTCAATTGAGTACAACAATAGCAGTGTTAACACAGCAAGAATATAAGTCATAACAACATGTAAAGTACATAGACTAGGACATATTGTTTTTGTTCTAGACCTAGAGAATTTAGTAAAAATCTGGCAAATTGAACAAAAAAGGCTTTGGCAAACTGAAGAAAAACAAAAACAAAAGGTCCACTAGGAAAACAATGTCAGAAATACCAAACAGAAACGAAGAATAAGGCTTTCGAGGAGGATCATTATAAAATGAGACGTATCTCAGTCGATGAAGTGTTTGAGGACGACGGACCGGTTCTAAAAGGATGGCGAAGGAGTGTTAGGGCGGTCGTATGCGGAGCACAGAAACCGGACGAGCCTCCACCGTCTCGCACCCCCGAACGTCATGACAGGAGACCGGAAGGCTCCATTGAGGACCTGCCGCGGAAAAAAATTCAGTGCAAACAATTCCATGATACCGTAAAAGAAAGCTCTATCAAGCTTAGAAAAGAGGTCAACAAGGATTCCACGCTTCCAAATTCATTATAACAATGTAACCTTCTGCTCATACCTTAAAGGAATCGTCCACGGAAAGAGCTCCGCCTTCATTACCACAGAAAAACGGTACATTAAGAATCTTCCCACGAAGGCAGTGATCATTTTGCTGGTGTGTAGGATTAGTAGGACTAGAGATTGTAGGATGGATTGGAATTAGAGGAGTCAAAATAGATGGAGAAACGCTCACACATCTTCTATATGCGGACGATTGTATATTATTCGCAACAACAACAATGGAGCTGCAGAGGAAATTGAGGGATCTACAAGTAGAAGCAGCGAAAGTTGGTTTACAGATTCACCCAGAGAAAACAAAATGGATGAGAAACCGATACTGCGGAACAGGGAATATTGATTTGGATGGAAAGCATATCGAAGAGGTAGAATCGTTCATTTTATCTCGGACAACTGGTCCACAAAGATGGCGGGATGAAAGATGAGATATCAAGAAGAATTCGAGCAGCATGGACAAGTTTTGGCAGATACAAAAGAAGCCTTACAGATGAAGAACTAGCAATGAAAGATCGTTCAACTCTCTTCAACACAATGGTATTACCAACCCTCACATATGCAGCAGAAACCTGGGCGACAACGGAAAACGATGAGAAAAAATTAGCTGTAACACAAAGGCATATGGAAAGAAGGATGTGCAAGATTTCGTTAAGAGACCGAGTAAACAACGAAGAGCTGAGAAGACGCACAAACGTTGATGATGTTGTCAAAACCATATATCGAAAGAAACAATCATGGGCTGGACACGTGACAAGATGTAAAGATAACAGATGGACAGTAAGATTAACCGAGTGGTACCCTCGAGGATGCAAACGCCCTGTGGGTCATCCGAAGATGAGATGGTGCGATCCAATGGTACAGTTACATGGTCACCAATGGAGAAGAATAGCACAAGACAGAGAAAGATGGAAAGGTTCCGATTTGCAAACATGGAGGAATGTTTGAAGACAAATCGCGTAAAAGGTAAAAGGTAAAGGTAGGATTAGTATTATCGAAACTAACGCTTATGTTCCGTTCTTTTTGCTATGCTCATGAGGCTAGGGGCCTAAGGGGTATCGTTTTTCTGTGGTAATGGAGGCGGAGCTTTTTCCGCGGAAGATTCCTTTAACCTGATCTACGTAGGCTAAGTAACACGTTTTCAGCTGATTGAATAAAAAAAAACAACTCCGATACACGCTTGGTAACCCTCATAATTAACTCAGACTATTTCCCGCATGGATTGGAAACTCCGCAAATGGAGTCATTGTTTCGAGGACGATAATTAGAAATAAACGATAAAATTAGAAATATAATTACCACTTTTGACTTGTTTTGACTATAACTGCTTGTTTCACAAACGAGTTCGCGGTCCGAAAGTTCTCACAAGAATGCTGAGTTGTGGCCAAAGCTTTCGCCCTAGTCGGGGCAATTACCAGCAACTGATAGCTCAGTTGTACGGGAAGCAAAAGATCCCGGCTGTGGCGTAAATTTTGCTCACAACTCAACATTCCTGTGTTTTGAACACAGTATTCTGTTATAGAATAGATCTTCGATCCCATTTCAGACAAATAGAAAGCATAGCAGAACGAGAAGCAAGATCTTTGGGGATTACCAACCGAAACCATCTTAGTTGCTATTCGGTTTTCTGTTTTTCTACCACAAAATTTGACTATACCTCAATTCCACCTGGACATCCAAGTTAAGGGTGAGTGGACTGACTACAAACCACGCTCATCTAGGCGGAGCCCCACCTACAGTGGGCGGGGCATGCGCCGAAGCAGGCGGTGTCACTAGAAACTTCCCATTTGGTTTCAGAACAACCCAGAAAAGGGAAATTGGTGAACGTTTGCACATGGTTGAGAGATCTGATTTGGTAAATCTAGGCATGGCATGTGGAGCACTCTTCAAACAAGCGGCGCTTACAGAAGAAATCCACGCCACATGCAATACAGCCCAGAAACCAGAAAATTGGTGGTGTGTTAATGCCAAATCAACAAATCACACTTGAAGGAAGCGAAGCGCCTCCCTCAGTGGACTGAGTTTTGTACAGCTCTTCATGACTTAGTTCCGAGAGAGCCTTTAGACTGAGGACAGTGCTTGGAGGCTGGCGCAGGAAGTGGGGAGGGGGGGGTACAAATTGTTGTAAACACTGCTTGAAGACCTCTTCAAACGACAAACGCTTTCTTTCCTAGTGCCTTTGACAAGATATTGAGAAAATAACGGGAAATGCCAAAAAACGAAGTGGATCAACCTGCGAGATCAGCCTAGTGTCCTTCTGTGCTAGTCATTACTAGTTGATGAAATGCGCGATCCCTAAAAAGGGAGGTGTGCCAAGCTTTTTCAAAACGGTCTTTTGCATGATATAGGGGCACATGCGGGAACCACAGAACCATGGTTAATTTTTCCTGAACGGCCCTCTGAATACCAGAAAAGGGGTCCCTAGTCACACCTTTTTCACCAGTTTTTCAATCAAAGTCTATTTGTAAGGGTTACTGACGGTCCTAATCATGAATATGGTACTAATTATTCATGCTAACTCCATTTTGCGCGAATTTTGGAACGTCAACT